GGGCCCAAAGGGCCCAAGATGGGCTATGGATTTTTGTTGGTGGGAAAAAGCCCCACAATGGGTGGCATCAATAACCAGGGAAATCATCTCCATTAAAGGGCCCCAAATAGAAAACCAATATGTGTTGGACCCCCGCTTTTCGATGGGTTCAATGGTAAACCAGAAGGACACCAACCACTTTTTGGTGGGGGCCACAGGCATACACCTTCTGCTTTGACCCTCCTGGCTCGTGTTTTCCATGGGGGAAAAGAAGAAAGCGTCAAAGGACCCACAGCAAATCTACAGGATTTGGATGGTTTGAGATTCCTGAGTTGAATGCTTTCTTTTGAACTGAAGACCTTGGAGATCCTCCGGAGGTGTCCTTGGGGAGCAATCACGTCAACCCTCCCACGTTCCAGAGCTAGCCGAAGGCCTTTGGAAGACCACCCGTTTAAGGGATCTTTGGGTTCCAGCAACAATGTGGGACTCACTTGCCAACAGCGAATCGAGCGTTAGACGGTTTGAACCATGTTCAATGAAGGTTCCAACAGGTGATCGACTTTTGTATTCAGATCAAATTTGAGCACAGGGCTTGCTAAGCATCCCCTTTGGTTTCAACCATCATCTTTCGGGTCAGATCAAAAGATTCAAAAAGTAAGGTTTCTTCAAGGGTGTTTTTGAGTGAACCCTTTAGTTTTCAAGTGAGGGGAAGCCGGAAGTCCGGGAAACAAGGGCAACCAACATTTCGAGGTCCCCCATTTTGACACGGACCCATTCGACATGCCAAACAGGAGGCCCCCGTTCGAGACACGGAAACCCGAGGCTCGGAGGCACACTGGAGCGCGCAGTGCGGACCACGCGGCGCCCTGAGAAGCTTCCAGTTGAGCGCCCTGTGTTTTTGTTATGCAAACCTGTCCAACCTTGGTAGTTAACTTGAAGGCAACTAGAAAACTGGAACCAGCATGTAAAGTCAGAAAAACATCTTAGCCAATCGTGGGCTTGGGCTAGGAAGTTTCGGGAAAAACCATCCTCCTTGGGACGCCTTCCAGCTCTCATTATTGAATTCAGCCCCCTTGTCCCAAAGCTTTGATGAGGGGCTAGTTCAGGAGCGTGCTCAGGAAGTAGACCTGAAGCAGATAATCCTTGTCGCAACAGCGAAACCCATGCTGGTCTGAGCCAATCCTTTCCGGTGGCAGGGGGTCCACGCAGGCGTTGGAGGGGAAGCTTTTGGGAGATGAGTTTTGGCCGAGGATGCCAAGAACGAACTTCCAGTACTTTTGTTTGCGTGTAACCAATTGTGGCCCTGTAGAGAGGTAAATCAAATCGTGCGCCTTTCATCGGAAGTGATTGACTCTACCCTCCCTCAGGCTATCAGGCAAGCTTGGGTTTGAAAGAAATTTGCCCCTGCTACGATGATCTACAACAGAGTCCTGGCCGTGAAGGAAGGGCATGTTCATCCACCCCCCCTAGCTTTTCAGCATGCAACCCCAGCTTGGGTGGCAGGCCTTTGGGGCCTGGTGTGTCGCGAGAGGCCCGAGCACATCCAGAAGCACGCGACGATTCTTGATGACGTCGTGAAGGGGCCTGCTGCACCATTCTTTACGGCCTTGATGGCCCGAATCTTAAGCAAGTGAAGGATGCGGCAGCTCGTGCCAGTTTAGCTGCGGAGAGCATTCGGTCCGGAACATTCAGATGAAGATCATACTTTCAAGGCATAGGCGTCAGCAGCTTGAGCGAGCATGGTCAGGGACAGCATCCTCAACTTCCTAGGCATAAACTATCAAAATACTTTCGTAGAGACATAATTACCCTACCTGAAAATCCCAGATTTCTGATGGATTGCAACGGAATCATGCAACTTCAAAGGAAAGTCGCACGCAGGTAGGGAGGGCTGCCGTTGATGTAAGTCAAGTGGGCATCTACCTTCTTTTCAAGATAGTCTTCCTGAAGCCTCCTGTTTGCGTCTCGAATCCATGTTTCTTGGAAAGAGAGTGTAGTGCCGTGCAAAGACCGGAACTCATTCCAGCTGTGGAGATATGTCAATAGGCAGACTGCAGACTGCAGACTGAACTCCTCGAGCTGCCCCGTTCAGATATCTAATTTGTTTGCTTGTCGGGCGCGCAGCTTGGAAGTGGCTTTTGCTAACGGCAAGAGGCATCAGAGGATGCAGAACCCAGGACTACTTAGCGTGAGCTTCTTGGGGTGTGAATCGGGGCTGCAAACAGTTTCAAATGGGGTGCCTCCATCCGGTGCATGGTAAGAGTGAACCTGGACATGATTTGGGGTGTCGAACCTCTGGATTCCACTAGTTCTTCAATTGGTATGATTGTTCTGGGCCCTCTTTTAGAAAGAAGCGACAAGCTCAAGCCGACTTCTTGCCATTCCCCTGCTGTTCCGATAGGCTGCATCATTGGAGTGCCCAAGTCACTCGATGGGATAGCGTACAGGACAGCTGTCGCTGTTCTTCGCAATGGCAGCCTCCATGCCCAGTTGCTGGTGAGTGTCTCAAAAGAGGAGCCCTCAGGGCTGAGCAAACCAGGTATGCAAGCGACAGAGCTTACAGGAGAGCAGGTGAAGGGTTCTTAGGCTGCAGCTGGCAAACAACCCGGATTGTCTTCAAAATGAGTCCGCTGACTTCCCAATATGCTCTCCAGACTCGCATTGAGAGCCGCGTGAATAGGTAAGTACTCACTCAGATTTGCCCAGTGCATGGAGACTGCGCCTTTGGCAAGGTAGGTCCTGGCAATCGCCCTCTTGGGATGAGTTGTCAGAGCTGGCGTGCAGCCCTGGGTTTGGCACAAGATTTAACGCCAAGGTGCCTATGAGCCACACCCCCTGTAGAGAGTCGGGTGCAGCAGGGCCTCGGCTGATCAGAGCGACCCGTTTCCGAATTGACCGGGTAATGCTGGAGCGTGGGTCCCAGCAGCTTGTCTGCGAAAGGCCTACTTAAGCCATAGTGGCAAACCAGCAAAGAAGCAAACATACATACGCATGCATGCGTACAGGCATACATTCATGTATGTGTGCATACGCGCATACATGCAGTCATGCATCCATGTCTGCATAAGCAAAGGTGTAGATGTATGCATACACGCATACATAGAAACACACATACCTACATTCCTACACCACACATATACGTACATACATGCGCATACACAAACGCACACACGCGCACACACACACATGAACCACACACACACACACGCAGACACACGCACACACACATACACACACACAGACACAGACACAGACACAGAGACACACATTGACACACAGAGACACACAGAGACACACAGAGACACACAGAGACACAGAGACACACAGACACACACAGACACACACAGAGACACACAGAGACACACAGAGACACACAGAGACACACAGAGACACACAGACACACACACACACAGACACACACACACAGACACACACACACACAGACACACACACAGACACACAGGCACACACACACACACAAACGAACACACATGTGCGCGCATACATACATGAATGCATATTGACATACATGATAGGCAATTGCAAAGCAACACGCTTCAACGCATAGACACACAAACACAGGCAGGCAGGCAGGCAGGCAGGAAGGCAGGCAGGCAGGAAGGCACTTTGAGAGACGGACGGAGACCTCAGAGACAGAGACAGGGACAGAGACAGAAACAGAGACCGATAGATAGGCAGGCATACCGGCAGACAGGCAGAGAGGCCAGCAAGCAACAGACGAACAAAGCCAAACAATCAAACGAGCAAACGAGCAAGCAAGCAAGCAACCAAGCAACCAAGCAAACAAGCCAAACCTGCGAACACTGCGATGATGGTGACCCGCGTGGCCCATTGACCCGGAGATATTTTGAAGGTGGTGCGAAAGCCATGTCGCTATGTCGCAGCACCTGTTGTGCAGGTTTCCTTTCTTAGGCTCCCTCCCGCGAGAGGACTCGTGGCAAAGTGGCGGGGGCTGCGCTGCTTACAATGCGGTCATGGGCAGCTGCCAGCCCTCCCCGAATGGGACATTGTGACCTGGGAATGTGTCCAAAGCTTTGGCCCCCCTTCCTTGGGCCAAGACTGAACTCGTTAAGTAGCCATTTGCTTCGCAGACAAAGAAATCAATTGTGACACACCCCCAGCCCCTCTTTTTGTTCCGCTTGCTTGCAGTGAGATGGAGCACGTACAGCTCAAGGTCAAATTCTTGGAGTGCAGAGCCACCAAGAACACCGGCCTCCGGGCTCATGCCCACATCGGCATGACCCGGTCCACATTGGCTTCATCCGGTGAAACCCCGGACCTTTGGAAGAGAACCGGCTGGACATTAAGGGAACCCCGGGTAACAAGGGAAGGCAGCAACGAGGATCAAAATCCCTGCCGAAGCTCCCCATTGCCACCGCGCGTTTGGCGCACTTTTGAGGAGAGCCATGGGTTCGAACCAAAGGATTTACTCAGGCAGCGGTGCAGAAAGTTGCAGTTCAAGGACGATTATGGAAAAGGGAGGGAGGACTGGAGCTTTCAGACCTGCAAGGGCCATGTCAGCTTCGCAGGGACATGCGAGGCACAACCGAACATTGGCCAATTACTTGAGGTTCGACAAGAGGGATCTGCTTGCTTTTAAAGGAACGTCGAACGTTTGGTTTAAGAAACTTGTTTGGCCATGCGGCAGCTGCCAATACGTGGTTTATCTGGTTTGCCAATCGTTTACCAATGAGTAATGAGTGAACAGCGAGTAGAAACAGATGCAGCCCTTGGCTCAACGTGTTGCCGTGTTTGCTGTTTCCCGGGCAGAACAACAAAGCACATGTCCGCACAAATAGCTTTGCCGATCTGCGGGATGCCGTTGTCACCTTCCGTTGTGCCAGCCCCAAACCTTTTCTCTTGATTTGTTGTCCATCATTTTGCCTTGTGCTTCTGGGACCAAGACACATGTGTCTTTTGCTTGTTCCGCCCAGGCCGAGCCTTTTGCTCTGAGCGCCGCACTGACTTCTCTTTCGCGGCCATCGATCGCATCGATCGCCATGGCCGCCAACGACCGTATCCGCATGGAGTGCGACAAGTGCGGGTACAAGTGTGTGCCGCAGTGGCCCCGCGGCTGTGCAAGACAGAGAGAGAGAGAGAGGAAGGATTTGTCCAAAGAGGTGGGGAGGTGAGTGGCGATCATTTAGGAAGAGATGCCTGGCTGGATTAGAGGTGCGCGCTAGCGGAGGGGCAAGAAGCAGACGGCAATATTGGCGCATATCGATAGTGAAAACATGGAAATGGGAGTCTCACAGAGGGCCTGAATTTAGCCTATGTCCAACATCCGTAACAATAGCCCCCAAAAAAAAGCTCTTGAAGAACCCAGTTGGGGGAAGAATGAATATGAAATGACCACAAACATGCGAGGTTGTCAACCATGGGCACATGGCGAAAAGGCTTTGTACAAAATGGGCGTCGAAGACTTTACTCTCTTCCTGGACATGAGAAGTTCATCACGGCAATACCCTTCCACTTGCTGAGCATGCCTTCCAGACACATCGCACAAGTTTGAACTGACTGAGGCGGCATTTGCTTTCTGCAGTCAGAAGTGGAATGGCAATTGTTTGACGGCCTCAAGGCACACTTGGCGGCAGCCAAGCAAAGTTTGTTGTGTTGAAGAGGGACCGGCCGCTCCACAGTAGAAGACGGCAAAGCAAACAAGCAAAATGCAGGGCCATCAGGGCCAAGAATGCCCAGAGGTGCAACGTTCCATGATGTTCCATGAGGTTGCCCTTGAACTATCCATGGGCCCAGTATGGGTGTTCGGCTTTCAGGTTGAATGCCGGGAATGTCACGCACCCAGTTACTCAAGGAAGTTTGTGAGATCAGATTTCCGGCATTGGCTTTCTAATGCTCAATGAATTTGTGCTTTGCCTTGCTACAGTCTTGGGGGCAGACAGGCGGAGTTCGGTCACGGCGTGTTCGCTGACAAGTTTCTGGCGCACTGAATCCCGTTATACTGCTACCGCACCCGAGCTGTGCCCACCGCATCCACCGTCCTGCACGACAGTCTCAATCACCGCCCGTGTAATTCCACGCGGGCAGCCAGTGCAAGGGACGCCCCTTTTTCAAGATGATTGATTTTACAAAGATGTCAGGCATGCTTGAAATGTCGCTCATTGTTTCTTTTCATTGGATTGGTGTAAAACGGGGTAAACCTGATTATTACTGTACTGGACGTTGTGCTCTTAGGTATATGAGGGAGAAGTCTGGATGGAGCTCTTGTCCTGCAGTGCATGTCAAGCACAGTACCTGTGAATAGTGCAATATCGCATATTATCTTGATTGTTTTGCCAGTGACCATGCAGATGTTGCTTTTTGTTTAGTTATGCTGGATGAGTTGTTTTGGCAGCGCGGGCAGCCCTTGTTTTTTCTCCCCCCACCTGCCCAACGGCCTTTTTTCGCGTTGAAGGGCCAAAGCCGAGAGTGCAAGCTTACAAGCCGACGTTGTGTTTTGCATGGTGAGGGCAAGAAGCGGCGAAACGTTGTGTTGAACCTTCCTGGTTTCAAAGCTTTCGGGGTTGATCCCTGCCTTTGACCTCGTGCCGAGGCTGAACGACAAAGCACACTGCCTCAAGTGCCAGGCCGTGCTGCGCACGAGAGGCGCGGATCCGCCAAGGCCATGCTTTTTTTCGGTGCTATGTAATTATATATATATATATATATATAATTATATTTACACATGTGTATATATATATATATGCCTGCTGCGGGCTAGAGATTGCCAAGAAGGTTTGTTTCTTCCAGTCACAAGCAGAGTCCCTTCAAGGATGCGATTGGGCCAGTTCAGAAAAGCCTGCGCCCGCTGAGGCAGTTGTTGGGTGTATAATTCAAGGATGCCTGAGAAGGGTGTTTGCTGCAACGTGGCGCAAGAAACCAATCACTTAGGCAGGGCACCGAGCACACATACCCAGGATATCCCTTTTGATTGGATTTACACCTCAGCCTTGAGTTGATAACTTTTGTTGAGTCTCGTGTGGGCTAAGGCTGCAAGTTCATGGTTGGCACATCCTCCGTGATGGGTGAGAATAAATCCCCATGCAATCCAAGGCCCGGGTCTGAGGGCTGGCCTCAGGGAGGGTTTGCACCAGTGGCGAGCTCAACTTGAGAAGAACGCTTCGCACCTATGAATCCCTCAATTTAGGCTAAAGAGTAGTGCAAATGGGTGACCTGGTTGGGTGCACACGTGGAACTTCAGCGGGTCGAGTCGACTCAGTCAGAGTTGGCGTGTTTATGTAGTGTTCTTGTCGCCGCAGATGCCTCCTTGCAAACAGCCCATCCTTGGGATTGATGTACAAGAGGGGGAGGGGGAGACAGAGGGGTCAAGAGAGAGAGAGAGAGAGAGTATGCAGCGATCAATCACGGTCACGCGATGGGCTGGGATAAGACACTGCTACTAGTAGGTACAAGATGTTTTCCCGACCCCTTTTTGTTCATGCAGGTGTTGGTTGAGTATGGGAGCGCAAGCCAGCCATTGTTTCACCTTGTTTATCTTCGCTTGGCGGACAGCCTGCCGCATCTCTGTCACTTGCAATTTTGAAGCCACTTCTTTGGCACCAAGTATCATCTTCCGCCTAATTGGTGGTTTGGATTGGTGGTTTAGTGGTTAATCCCCACTTGCCCTCAACAAGAACCAGGGGTTCAAATCTCCAAGGATAATCCAAACCTCCAACCAAGGGTTACCTGAAGTAGGAGTTTGCCGGCCACCATTTCAGAGCGACCGCAAACGGGGGGGCGGGAAATCGGCTGCGCACCGATACACCGATACACCGATCCCCATGCGGCGCGTATTCCTACTGTCCCCTCATACATGCCCTACCCCTGATGAATATCCTGGCATTTTTCGTGGAGTCAGCATTGCTCTCCAAACCATTCGAGAAAGTTCTGCCCCAGCTATCACGAAAGAGCTACGCAACAAGGGGAGGGTCAACTCCCAATTAGCCAACCTGGAGTTTATTAGCCAAGTACCGAAATTTCTAGAGGTTGGTTTGGTCAACCCCCCCCAAAATAAGCGGAATACCTCCACCTTTGGGCCCCTTGCCCGAGGCACCGTCCACGACGCGCAGCGCGAGGTCTTCGGAGCGGAGGCCAACGGTGAGAACCGCCGCGCCGCCGGGGAGGTCAGCACGCCCCTCGCACACGTCGCGACAGGTCGCGCGGTTCGGAGTGTCGCTTCAAGGATGTACTCCTCATCCCTGCAAAAGATGTGACCCCTGTACGTTGGCATGTTGCCAAACAGAGCGTATGTTTTCACAGAAAATCGGAGTACAACCACGGGTGCGCTCTTAGAGGTACACGGCATTGGCCGTTAATCCTCTAAGACACTGCCATGCTGGAGAGAAGGTGTTGCTTACTAAGATGACTCAAGTGTCTTGACCATTGGAGCTATGTACCAGCACTATGGAGAGGCCATTCATGGACATGGCTGTGGGTCAAAACCAATGGTACCATTTTGGGGTAGGTGCACCCATTTTAGAACCTATTTTAGTGGGGATTGGGATGTTCACGGGGGGGAACGATTTGTATTTTGAAAAGCCCATGGCCACACCACCTTCCAAGGCGCCCGTCCCCATCTTTCGCGTCCAAGGTTCAAAGTGGCGCCCTCCAGCGCCATGGAGTCGGTGGGCGGCACCTGCGCCAAGAGCCCCAGTGGCCAGCACCACTTCAAGTACGGCAAGTGCACCTTCGCGCATGGAACGTGGACGTGGTTCTGAGGGGACCTTCTCAGATTTCACATCTCAAACACCATCCTAGAATCAAAAGGAAGCCAAAGAGAAAGTAATGTGCTTGGCGGCTTCCCCAATGTCTGGTTTTGAGGGCGTCCATTTCGTTTGGGCATGTTTTTCTGCTGCGAGCCTCAGAGAGAAGGATTGGCGGAGCCATGGACAACTGACGGCTTTTTTGAAGCACTGACCCCAAAAAGCCCTAAAGGATGTGGTTGCAAAATGGAGTAAGTGTTACCAACACGCGGGCGGGTGGCCGGGGGGGGGGGGTGGAAATCAAAAGTCGCTCGTTAACCCTCCGACCTCCAGCCCGCATTTCCATGGAGGAAAGAGGTCCCCACAGAACCATATTTCTGATCAGGCCTTGTGATTGGGTCCATTGAGAAAGCAAACTCAGCGTTGGTGGAGTGATTTGTCTGGTTAATTCCGTTAACGAACGAGACCTTAACCTGCTAAAACGTTACATGTAACCTCGGTTATATGGGCAACTTCTTAGAGGGATGTGCCTCAGAACCAGATACGCATAAAGGGCGACCAAATGGCAAGCTGCAAACATGATATGGATGCCCAAGCTCTCCCCATTACATTACATTGCACAAGCGCCTCAAATTCAGCTGCCGCATTGGCGGCGGGTCAAACATGGCACATGGGGTGTCCAATGTACCTTCAGCACTTTAGAATAACATGGGAATCATAGGGCTCCATAGGGTTCCCCATATTTGCCTTTGTGTGGATCAGCCTACTGAATGAACAAGAACAAGGCCGAAGCAATCGGTGAGCAGTTGTTTTGGCAGCTCTTTGCAATTCCCCGTTTAATGCACGCCCCGTTTGGACATACAAGAGCGCAACATCGAACACCATGCGGGAAGAGTTGGGCTGTGATGTTCCCTTTCTGGGTGCAAGGGAGCACGCACACGCTGCATGCTTGGGAGCGGCACATCGCACCTTGACAAATGGCAGTATTTGCATCTATATAAGATTTGTGCTGGCTGTGGGCAGCACAGCCCCTCCATTCGAATGCTTTGATGCGCATACTGCTTCGGATGTTTGCAGAGGTTCCACTTCACTTGTTGCATATGCGTGGTACAGTCAGCGCTGCAAGAGCCGAGCCGAGGCAACCATTGCCAAGTGGCAGAGGGGAAGTTGGTCAAGGGCCCAGGCGAAGTACGTGACGCCGGCGGTGTTGCAAGCGAGCAAGTACAAAATTGAAATGGAGGAATCTCAATTGGGGATGCAAAGGCTGACATGTGTTTTGCAGTATAGCTTGAGCCATCCTGATGGGCAGCTTTGCCTGGGGTTTTCTGGCAGCCTTCGCCGCCTGGGTTCGCTCACAGGCCACTAGGCAGCTGGGCAACATGGTGCGAACACGGCAGTTTCTATTGGTTGTGGTGCAGGCGCTGCGCTGGGCAGGGCGGCAGGGCAGCAGGGCAGGGCGGGGTTTGCAGGCATCATGGCCAACCCGGGCGGAGCCGCCGAGTGCGAGATGGGGGGCAAGTGCATGTTCAAGTTCGCCAAGTGCACGTGGAAAGCGTTTTCCTCAAAAGCCAGTCGGGGGGGGGGGGGGGGGGCAGGTAGTGTACAGGAAGCGGAAGGGAATCAACCAGCCAGCTTTAGCTCCCTCATGAGGCACTAGTTGTATGGCATGCCGGCCTTCTTTTTCATCCTTCAGCCCATGGCGCCGCTACCCATCCGAAGTCAGCCAGATATTCCCGAAGTTTTGTCCTTTCACCTCAGGAAATGCGGCCGTGGCGAGGCGGGGATCTCGACGGACGTGGGGAGGCCGAGCCACGATAGCATGGCGCGGCGGCCGAGTGTTGACAGCGTGGGCCGGCGGCCGAGCCGCGATGGCCGGAGGCCTCCCTCTGAGGCACTGGGGGCTGGGGGGTTCGAAGTCGCATGCGAACATTGGGCCAGCAAGAGGAGGAAGCGGAGGGGTGGAAGCTACAAATGATGCATTCCGACCCTCATGTTCACCTGCGAAATGTTTCTGCTTTGGCTGGCTCAGCCCAAATTCCAGACCACCTCGTCAAGCAAGATGAAACGTGTTTGAATCTTCGTAGGAGTTGAACATTCAATCATGTGATAATTCAATCAAATAGGACAAATGAACGGACAAAAACATTCCTTCCTGTGCTTTCCTGGAAACTCAACCAGCAACTAACATCAACAGCAAAATAGAGATGACAAGGGGCGACTCATCCAATTATTTTGTCACTCCTTTCAGTACCTTCCATGTCTACCATTCCCTTGGGAAAATAGTGGCATGCGTCAAATGAACATATTCATCACGGTGAGAGTGAATGGTCGGTGAGCCCTGTTTTATGCCCCCGATTCCAGATGCCACTGATAGGTGTCTTTGGCTCAAGCCACGACTTGAACACCAACCATTGAGGGTATCCTCTGGTTGTTTCCGCATCCATGTCATCTTCGATCACCCTACCCTGGTGTCAAATGATCCTTTCATTTGGATGGCGGATGACTGCCTGCCAGCGGAGTTTCTGCAGATGGTCAACGGTGCCTTTGACTCTGCAGATGGCACAGGGCAATGTCAAGTGGTGAAGAAGCCAAACGGTCGCGAGATTTTGGCCAGGAACATTGACTTCCAGACAAAAGATGAGGTTTGCCAGGAAGCCTTTCGAAGGATGTCGAGCCTTTGTGGCATCTCTGGAGCTATGCCCTTCAGCGAGTTTATGGTTTCAGAAGTGTTGGCCAGTGGCCAGGATGCTCATGTGGACCATGTGAATGTGGATGATGTGGGTGGACACCTCGAATTCCTTGACTTGACGCGGCAGAGCTTCTCAGAATCAGAGCCGAGGAGAATTGTCCCAACAATATCCATCATCGTTTACTTCAATGCAGTTGGAGGCATTTGCTTCCCCTCCGCCACTGGCATGAAAACAGTTGCAGCCAAGGTTGGGCGGTTGGTCATGTTTCACAACTATGATGACAAGCATCGGCCGTCCCACAAGGCATCAGCGGAGCACTATGGAATCAGAATCTACTTTGAGAACTTGCCGAGGAGAGTGCTCATCATGGGCGTGCTTGCGAACCACACCCCCCAGTTCTCAAGTTTGGCAAAGACCTCGGAGGCTCTGGTCTACTGTGCCGGCACCCGACGAGATCCCTTGTGCCCTTGCCGCAGGTAATAATTCAGTTGCCCCTTAAAGAGATGTAGTGGGAATAGATGTTTTTTCATATCGTCCTCAAATGCAATGGGGTTATCAATATCATCCATATCATCCATCATATGATCCATATCATGCATAGGGGTCATCCCCAATCAAAAGCCAGGTTTCACGACAATGCTTCCTACGATGTCTACAAGACTCCGCAGCAGATCGCGGAGCGCATCCGGGGGGATCTGGCAGAGGCGCAGCGTCTTCAATTGGGCCAGCCACAGCACAAGAGAGAGCCGCCCAAGAGAGAGCCGCCCAAATCAGATTTGATCCTGACCCTTCAGCTACTGCTGACAGACAAGGGTCTTTGCGAAGTTGAAGGGCGCAACATGGCCGGTGACCTGAAATCCAAGAGGAATGTGCTTCCAGGAATGATGGTGAAAGAGTTAAGGCGTCGCATCCAGAGGGACGCGGACCCCAACAATGTCCACAACGTCATTTTGTGTTTGCAGAACGGACAGCTGCTGACTGAGGAGCATGATGACTCAGTGCTTGAACAGTGGTCCGATAGGTCGGGTCAACCCGACCTCCCAGACAGGAATAAAAAAGGGGAGCAGACTGGTTCTGGATCTGCTCGTTGCGGGTGCTCAATTAGTTGAGTAGCTGTCTTTTTGCCGACCCACTCAAGATCCTAGCAACTTTGTTTGTGCCATGTGTATAGGTTCATGTCTTCTGGTGGCGAACTGCAAGATTGTGTACAGAAGCTGACCTTTCCAAAAGGATCGGCCAGACACAGCAGGCTTGTGGTTTCAGCCTATCCTAATATGATTCGTACCGTTCGGATGTTGAGTATGTTTTTGTAGTTGGGAAGGCGGGGATCAAAAGTAATGTCGAAGCGAGTCTCTTTTATTTTGGTTTTAGTATATCTATATATGTATATACATATAAATGACATTATACTGGAGAATCATTATAAACACATGCATCTGTATATACATGATCTGATAGTAAACACATTGTTAAATCAAATCAACACATATGAAGTGGCGTGTTTGAATTTTGATTATGATTGTTGTGTGTCGCTGCTTTGGCGGTCTAGAATCGGCTCGACAACGAGGTTGTATAGTGATTGATTTCGGAGCGAGAACATTTGGGTTGTTGAGCATTGTTTTGTAGCGAATCAGGTGGTCAACAGTGGAAGGCATTGTCATTCTAAACTTCTTGATATGTTGGTATTTGATCTAGTATTAACACGCCAATGGCTGACGACATTTCGCGAGTTTTGTTAGCGGGGTAGGTTTCAGGAATCGAGAGAGGAAAGAGTCCAGAGTTGCGATTAGAAAGTCGAGACTTGCGATGTGGGGGATCAAGAGTTAAGGGTTAGGTCTTTCGAGCTTAAAGTTGTGAGTTGAGTCGTGTGGGGTCGATTGATTCGAGACTTGAGAATCTACAGTTTTATGTCGAATTAAATTCAATGAGTTGAATTTACTTGGGCTAATTGAGTAAATTGATCGATGGTTTTATGGAAATGACATATGTTTGATGAATGGTAATTGGCTTGTATGTGTATGACATATTTATACACTTATATACATCGATATATGTATTATATGTCTTTTGCTGTTTAAACTGCATCAAATATTGTCATTGAATAGTTGTTTGCAGAGATCATACAAATTGTGTTTTATTATTGTTATGGTATAAACAACAATTACATGTATATTAGCTTACTGTATATGCAAATCTATGATATGCATACATATGTATATATGTGTGAGTGTTTTAATTTATGATTACACTTTTAATCCTAGATGAATGAAGAGGCTGCGCGGTGCTGGCTTGAAGCCGAAAGCGTTGGACTATGCAGAGTCAGGCCGTAAAGACGCCAGCTCCCTGGAGATGCTCCTTTAATGGCCGCAACTGGCCCGTCGGCGACGCCCCAAGCTGAAGAAGCAGTGCCGAAGTCAGCATCCGGTACAATCCCTACAAACATAGAACTTGAATAAGACCCCCGGAAGACCATGTTTCTGTCAAACGATTCTCATCCAGCTTCCGTGCATTGGGAGGGCATGTATGGCTATAGACTACCCATGTTCTCACGCTGGTCGTGAATTTCAGGCCCCGGCCATTCCCAGCAAGTGCCAGTAGAATTTTCCGCACCAGACAGGATTGTAGCACTTCATTCTTTTGGTTGCGGCCTCTGACACATGCTCATTGCGCAGGTTTCTACTGCTACACCCGCTGGCGCGGAACTTGGCAAGGGCATTGAATGAGTGACTGGAGGGCCTTGGAAGTTTGGGATTCTTCGTCCCACTCGCTGCTGCAAAACGGCATGGGTGCGTGTTTAAAAACCATCCTGGATGACATCCGACCGCATCCGGTCAATGAAGACCGTTCATTTTCCCTGCAAAGCACCAATCCAGGAGGTGATCGAGGTTATTTTTCAGGAAAGACCCAAGCTTCCCTGCCAAAAAAGAGTCATCATAAAGGGAGCCCCTGAGAGAAACACGGTCAGGTTGTGAGCCTGGGCCGCTGAGGCAGCCCGCAGAAGTCGCCCTCCATGCGCCCGCACAGTCCCCTGGGATATGCGGGCGTTCAGGTCGCCGGAATGATGGTGCCGCGGCTTGCTGGGATCAAGCGTGAGCTTCTGAACTATCATGTACTGAGGGTGCCCTTGGTGGTAATTGCGTCTTGTGTATATTATTATGTATATATGTACAAATATACCCAGAATAAGTATGACTTTGCAGGGTTTCTTGGGGGTCTCTTCACTTCCTTCTACTGCTTGTTTTTCCTTTTTCTGTTCTCTCTTGTTTTGTCTTCCTCTTTCCTCTTGCATTTGTTCGTTCTCCTTCTCTTCCTCTTTATTCTTCTCTTTCTCTTTCTGTGGGTGGCTCGCTATTTCATGGTTGCGAAGCAGCGCGAAGCTGTCCGAACCTGCTCCGAGCCGTGTCACGAGTGGAGGTCTTTTGCGAACCTGCCAGAGAGCCCATGTAATGCACAGCGCCACGCTTCTCCAATTCCGGACATTGCCCAGCTGTTGCGATTTCATCATGTCTTCCTTCTTTTCAGGCACAAGCATCATATATCGAAAGTTTACATGTACAAAGCTATATATAGATATATCCATACATTTGTCTATTGTTTAACGATGTTATATTCCAGAGAAACCTCAGCTCAGTTCGTTCCAGTACCACGGAAGTTCCATTTTAACTTCCTTTGACTAGTCTATTTGAGAGCCCCCGCGCGCATGAACATAGCGAGTAAATGACGGTTTATCTCTTTCCTCAGCATGTGCCCGCGGGTTAACCCTCGTGCCCACTTTCCCTCTCCCCATTATTTGTCATCTCTTGGAGTTGTGCCCGTCAATAAATCCTGAGAACAAGACATAGAAAAGGAAAAGGAGAAAGACAAGCAATAATTATTGAGATGAAAGAGAGAAGTGACAAAGAGAAGCAGCATATTACGAAAGAATGGCGAGTGAGTGAATCCCTCGCCATCATATCCTTATCTCTTTTCATCTCTGTTCTCCATGGCTGCCATAATGTTAGGATTCCCAAGTTTTTCACCATATACTGCTTCTATTCTAAGAGTTCATATGTGCGGGAAAACGGGACTCAAATGCAGCCAACATAACCTCAGAATAAAAGATGCCTCCAAAACAAGAAAGATAAACATAAATAGGTTGATAAGATATAGAAACGTAAATGTAAATGAACGAAATAAAGTGATGGCCTATTTTCTCCTTGTTCGTCGCCGTGTAAATCTCAACGTTATGAGTCAGGCGTAAATAAAAATCACTCTCTCATTCATGCCTCTCTCTACCCAGTCATTTGTATAGATGCTTTTTTCTCGTCCACATCCTTCATGCCCCACATGTTGACCACAGGCAAAGAGAGGCATACCATGAGGAATAATTTTACTAAAAAGGCAAGCTGAGAAAGTCAGAGGTGTTCGCAAGGGCAGTCAAAGAACACTTGAGGGTTCCATATCCAAATTGCAGGCAGGCCCTTGGCATCGCTGGCATTCGACTCAGGAGCCTGAGTCGGTTCGGCAGGGCTCCAAGGACACCAGCGAGGGCCGCACAAGCTCCAAGGAGAGCAATGAGGCTGCGATCGCCAAGGCCTGTGAGCGGGGATGCAGGGTTTGCTGTTTCAGTTGCACACTAACATGGTCAACCCCAACAAGGAATCTCTCGTGACTGAACAACTGGGCTATTTTTTGAGCTACAATATCGGTGTGCTGTGGTTCCCCCTCAGCTTGCGGGTCCTCCATCGGTGTTGTTCTGGCAATTGTGAGCGTGGGCGCGTGGGCGCACCTGCGGATATCAACAGACATCTCCTTCTGGGAAGGCCCCTTGTGGGTTCTGTATCAATATGTGGGAGGGATTTAGTGGAAGCACCCATTTGTTTGTTTCAGCCTCAGCCTTGGCCGGGGAGGACCGCACACGCATGACCTGCCATGTGTGCATCTTGGCTGAAAGATGAGCCGAAGCTTTTTCCAGCGTTTATGCGTAGCCTCAGGCTTCATGTGCAAGTGCCCCTCCCCAAAAAATGTCTCATAGACTTACTTCCTGAGTGGTTTCGCCAAACAAGGTTCAAGCTGTTCATTTACCACAAAAATGGTCTTCCCAACAAAGCGTAACGTCCAGCAAGTAGACTACCAGTAAGTTTTGATGGGACCTTACGTGGAGCCTGTAAAGCCGACCGGCGTCAAGCACCGTGCCTCAAACGCACTTGTGTCAATTTCGGGGTTCCCCCCAAAATGGGTGGTGTCCCTATGGTTTCCCTTCCAAACGGCTGCGCACGCACACACACACACAAGCAAACACACACACACACACACACACACACACACACACACACACACACACGTGGGAAGTGCTGAAATGGGCATGTATTTTTAATGAGGAGCCCATTCGGACATGATTTATGGAAATCGGGATTTGTGTCCGGCAACTATTTTGGAGGCTGTTCCCCATCGGAATTCATAGCCATATATGAGACGGATCAAAACAGTTCCCTTGGGGTTGGTGTTACAAAAAGTTGAAGCCAAAAGGATCCAAAAGGGAATGGTTGCCACATATAAGGGGCCAATGTTGTAGCACATACATATGTGCACGAGGGTAGTTTGGGTGGAGCACGCGGACTTGTGTTCTGCCTACATCGATCATAGGGGGTTGATTGGGGGAGGTTTGTTTGTTGCAAAAACCACCTTTCCATCAACGCCGGTCAATAGCCCAGGCGGCTACAAGTCAGTGCCCCAGTGGATGAACGACAAGGCGCACTGCCTGAAGTGCGACGCCGTCGTGAAGACCAGGAACTCCATCCATGGGGAGGTGCCCGTGCCTGAGAATGTGCAGAAGGACCTTGGGGCCAGCCGACTTCCTGGCGAGGCCCGGGGCTGGCCGGCAGCCACGGGCGGGGTGGGGGGGGGTTGTGGGGAATGGCATCAGCCACAAAGCATTGTTTGGGGTGCTGTGAAGTTGCAAGTTTGAGATCATCACATGACCATGTGGTGCGCTCTTGGTCCATGGCTTGAACAAATTCAGAGAGCGAGAGAAAGAGCGCAGGAGTGCCCACAATTCCCAAGCCCAGTTGACTAGTGTGTTTTCCACACTTGGCTTCCTAGTGTTGGTCCCTCATTTTCGGTTATTCTTCCTGAGCTCAGGGCTCGAAACGAAACTTCGGAGCTCACGCTGGAAACTCCAGGCCTCCACCTATAAAGCTGCCCCTGGCAGCGCCATGGAATCCGCCAGCGGCACCTGCAGCAAGTCCCCGGACGGGGTGCACCACTGGAAGTACGGCAAGTGCGGCTTGGACGGATGCGAGTGCGGGAGGGTTCGAGCGGGGAGAGCGGTTCTTTGAGGAGGTCTTTGAAAGGTTGAATCAGTTGCGCCTGCGAGTGGATATGCAAACAAACTCCGGTTTTCAGCACCAAAGCGCCCCTCCTTGCATGGAAACCGTCAGACACAGCTGCAGACCGCGCAGTCATGTTTTTGTTGAGCCAGCAACCGGGTTCCATAGGCACCCTTGCCCTCATGCAACCACTGACAAGAAAAAAGAAACATGAAACACAACTTTCTCTGGAGAGACATTTACTTGTCAAAGCAAGAACCTCAGAAGTGAGCCATTCGCCGGACTTGGGAAGCAACTCCGGCAGAGCCTGCTTGGCCCGCAAGCTTAGCCGATTGATCAGCATAAAGGGCTTGTCGTGTTCTGCAGCGGCTCGGCATCCAGGGTCGCCAAGCAGTATGAAAAAGTGAGAAACAACTACCCTTTGATTTGTCAGCGATTTCCTGGTGTTTATCCTATTACGCTACTGGGTTTAATGCCCTCCTGCCCTGCCCCGCGCTGAGTGCCAGGCAACTTCTGCCAGCAACCCGAAGGGAAGTTGATGAAAGGCACTGGCGTGGTGGCTAACCCTGGCGGTGGGAAGAGCGGCTGCGAGAAGGGCGGCAAATGCGTCTTCAAGTTCTCCAAGTGCACAAAGTGTGGCCGGCGAGAGTACTGAGCCTCTTGGCCAAGGGGCAAAACTCATTTGCGCACGTGTTTTTTTTCTCCAAAGCCGCGTTGCGACTGACATATGTGGCGCTTGTTCATAGGGAAAGTGAATTTGCACATGTGGGCATTCCCAAAATTCGGGGACCCCCTTCTGGCTGGTGCTCACAAAGGGCACCAACAACTTGTTGAGGTTCCCGTGTTTGTTGTTGAGAAATGTTTGCTTTTACAGTACATTATAGTACATTCTCCTGCCTGGGTCCTGCGCGGCATCCTCCACACCTCCATGCCAAGGTGCAGAGCTGATGGGGCCAGATGACTCGGGTATCGTTTGTTGATATGGTTCAAGACGTAAGTTGGACACCTTGTCAATTCAAAACTTGTTTGGGCGACCGAAATTACTAACTCTTGCAATTTGAAAGGGTCCAACTAGTTTTGATGCCTTGGACACCGCTTTGTCCAAAGGAGTGCACCTTGCGAGTGTGTTCTAGTTAGGCGGCCTTTGACAAGCGAGCAGTTTGCGGGTCCATTGGCCACTGAACTGTTGCCTTTGTTTGGAGGTTCCTTACGTACAGGTGGTTGTTGAATGAATGTTTCCGTTCCCCCTTTTGTTTGGCCGATTGCTCCTGATCCCTCCTGAATCGCACCAGCTGAATGCGGCAGCTGCGTGTGGTTGTTTTTTTTGGCAATGGCAAGGGTTCACAAGGGATTCTGCCATGTCACCTTTCCAGTCTTACAGCTTCCCTGAGAGCACAAAGTGCCCCTGTGTTGCAAGCGTAGGTCGTCAGGCACTTTTAGGCACTGTCTGAGCTTCCCAAAATGAGCGAAAAAATGGTGCACGAACTGATGCTTTTGCTGCTGCTGTTTTAGTGTTGTCAGCGTTGTCCATTTGTCGGGAAAGTCAGTTCTTAAAACATATGGGGCATTAAATGGCAGTTGTGTCTTTGCCAAGATGCTGAAAGATTGCAAAGGCTGCATGGAACACTGAATACACATGCATATTTTGATTGCTGCCCATAGTTGGGATAACTCTCGTGGTATCTAGGTCGCAAGTTATACAAAAGAAGCAGCGATGCACTCGATGTCATGATAGTGCTGCGGATGTCTCTCCATATCCGCAATCTTTGGCTAGGAGAACTGCCCTCTGGAATCCAAGCGGATACCACGCTCGCCGGCTGCTCCGCCCTTGAATTGCCATGGCCACTGGTGACCGCATCCGCATGGAGTGCGACAAGTGTGGGTACAAGTGCGTGCCGCAGTGGCCCCGGGGCTGCAAGACAAGACCAAAACTTCCCAGAGGTCGGGATGTCTGTGGCAGGTTTCTTAGGACCTGACGCTGATCGGTTCTCGAAATGGTTGGTGCGAGTTGCTTTCCATTCAAATGCCGTCCCAGAAAGTGTCACTGCTTAGATCTTTTCCTACGTGGCCAGGGACGGCCAGAAGAGCCGTACTCTATTGGCCGCCGCTGTTTGATCGCTGCATGTCCATGCATTTCCTGGCCGATGGTCAGGTGGTTTACCTATCGCCCGCTCGTCATTGTTTCCCCGTGAGTCAAGGGGCATAAAGTACATGTTTTTTTCGAATATAGCCCCTTGCATGCATCATATGTGGGTTGTTTCCTTCGGTTTCTTCTGGAGTATTCGGTCAGGACATGGAGCCCCCAGAGTCACTTGTTTTTTCTCAAAATCCAGTTTTGACACCTTTCAAACTGTGACAAAGTGAGGCTTGCAACATCTGAAAGTGCCACCAATGCTGCCAACATCAAACCAAAAGAAAAAGCTTTTCTTGAACCCAAATTGATTAAAGGACGACTTTTTGTACTTCTTAAACCCCAGCACCCTTTCTTGCTGGAAGAAATTAAAGTTTGGGAAAGGCAGTTTTCAAATGTCTAAAGTCACTCTTTAAGAATTTGTGGAACCTTTCTGCAATTTTTAGTGCTTGTTTTTCTGGAACTCAGTCCGTCTTTTGCTGCAACTAATTTGGAAAGAAAGATCAAAGAGAGAAAGGCAAGACAGAAGAACAAAATAAAAGAAACGGATCCTTGAGAATTTGGATTTTGTGCAAGAATCCGTACACTTGCCAGAAGAACTGCTTTCAGCACTGATTGTGCTTGGGCGCTCAGGCTCAACGACAAGGCCCACTGCCTGAAATGCCAGGCCGTTCTACGCACACGAGGCGCGAGGTCGACATGTCGTTTGGCTGGGCTTTAGTTGCTTTGTGGCGCTAAAAGGGGGTTCCCATTGGCTACCATGGGTCACTGGGCAACTGGGCGGAGCAAATGAGCCAGTGAGCAAATAAGCCTGTTTGGAAGGTAGCCAGCTTTTGACACGTTTCGTAGCACTAAACAGTACATGCGTCAAACTTGCTCTTATGGTGGAATTCACTCCCATTTTGTTGGATACAAAATGGGCGTGAGCTCATGCAATGTGTCAACCGGTCCATCAACTTCTAGGTTCAATGCGCACTTTTACGCCTATGTGGTGATATGGTTGCTGTGGTTTGCACGGGCATCATCAGGAGGGAGTATTGGCTAGCTAGAGTTGCCCTGGGCCACACGCGAAAAGGCGTTTTTAGCCCCGCTGCCTGTGAGCAGCACAGGTGGAAGTGTTGCTCCCTTGATTCTTGCCACTATGGCCTCGGCAACGACTTCAGCAAGGTGTGCAATAGACAAACTGACGACCGGAAGCCCAGAATCCTCATGACACGTATTATACATGGCTGCGATTGCAAGAGTGCACTTTCTGCAGATTGCGGACTTTAGTTGAACATGAATATCGGCTTCAGGTGCTCCTTGCAGAGACTTCAATCAAGGATCAAAATCCGGTTCCATTTATCCCTCGTTCAAACCAAGTGGGAATGCGGCCTAATACTGAAAGTCGCAAGGGAGACGCCAGGCCGGGAGGGTAGGGTTGTGCAACTGAAATCCCAGAAAAGGAATAATTATTGACTCCCTTTTGCCGGAAAGGCCCACTTCTTACATGGTTTGATCAGCCAAACATATTTGAAAGAGTGGCAAGTCAGAGGTTCAACTAGCTTTGATTTTACCTGCCTTCAACCATACTGCACTGTCTCAGACCCCCCTCACAGCCCCAAAAGGGTGTGTTCGGAAAAAAACACATGAACAAGTTGCGTAAATTGCATAAATGAATTTCACTAAGGGGTTATGTTCCACTATGCAATAATGCATTTAATACTCCAAATGCGGTCGCGCACTTCTCAGGCTCCCTCCACGAAGCCCAGCGCGAGGTCTTTGGAGCGGAGGCCAACGGCGAGACCCGCCGCACCGCCGGAGAGGTCAGCACGCCCCTGGCCGAAGATAGGTTGTGTCACCCCGGAAGAGTGGATCAGGTGGGTGTTCACCTTGTTCACCCCCAAAATTGAAAAATCCCCTTCTTCTTCAGTGGGGGCGCCCCATATTGATCAGCCAAGTGTTTGGGGCCTGAGGAGAGCCATTAAAGAGGCTCGAAAGGACATTGCACCTGCCCTACCTGAGCAAAATATAGAGGCGAATCTGGCGGCCGGGCTACTCTTGGGATCGATGTTTTCCTCGCGTTTGCCGGTTTTTGCTTGCTTATTCAGCTTTTTGGTTTCTTCAGTTTCTTTCCTTGTTGGTTTGACGGTTGGCCCTGCATTGTGCTCGATTGTCAAAGCCGGTTGGTCTTAGCCAGAGCCGCGGCTGGTTCGAAAGTGGAGACTCTCCGGGCCCGCTCTCCAAGTTCAGCTCGTACAGTGTGTATGTTTGTCTTTGTGTGGCTGTGTAACTGTGCGTGTGTGTCTGTGTCTGTCTATTTGTTTGTCTGTGTGTGTGGTGGTCTGTGTGTGGTGTGTGTGGTGTGTGTGGTGTGTGTGTGGCGTGTGTGGTGTGTGTGGTGTGTGTGGTGTGTGTGGGGTGTGTGGGGTGTGTGGGGTGTGTGGGGTGTGTGGGGTGTGTGGGGTGTGTGTGTGCGTGTGCGTGTGCGTGTGCGTGTGCGTGTGCGTGTGCGTGTGCGTGTGCGTGTGCGTGTGCGCGTGCGCGTGCGCGTGCGCGTGCGCGTGCGCGTGCGCGTGCGCGTGTGCGTGTGCGTGCGCGTGTGTGTGTGTGTGTGTGTGTGTGTGTGTGTGTGTGTGTGTGTGTGTG